TGTTTCTGCACCTGTGCATGTTGCTTTTGATTTTTTGGTTTTTTATTTTGGGTTTTATAAAATATTTATATTTTCCCAATAATTTTGTTGTTATTGTAAAACTTCCACTTGTAGATTTTTAAAATTATTATTCACAATAAATACAGGTGTGACCAAGGAAGCTTGTGGTTCTAATAGATACATCATGCAGTGTTCCAGGGCAGAGCTCTGAGTTATGTAAACTGACATATTGAGAATGAGGAGTCGGTGGCAGGGTATAGGACCTCCAGGCCAAGCCAGGATGGAAATTTTCCCCCTTGTTAAGGTAAGAAAGGCAGCAGGTAACCTAATATCGTCTTATGAGAATTGATCCTTTTGACCACTTCATGAAGGCCATAAATACACATTTGGAGATTGTAGGTGTGGTGGGGGCATCTCTTGATCCTGCTAAGGGTATGGTAGAAGCAGAGACTTCATATGGTTCCACCGAAGATCTGGCCAGAAGTTATGAGAAGCTGGACTGGAAGGAGTGAGTACACAGTTCACTTCTTGTCACATCTGCAGTAGACTGTTGGTTCCTTGAGTCTGAAGTATTTCTCATTATACCATATTGCCTGGTCTAATAAAGTCCCTGTAAGGACAGGATCCAAAGAGATCAGCTAGTGAAAGATTATTTTTTGCATTATTTGTTCCTTAAATTGTAATACTCTTAATACCGCTTGTATAAAATTTCCAATTTGCTAAAGTTGCATGTCTTCTCTGTACAGCTTACCATAGTTTATACACTTCATCCAATTGCCTCATTATCACGCTCATTAAAATCTCCTGCCATGGGAAAGGAGAGTATTAACACTGTGGCAGTCTGTCCATCTTATAGATGTACCACAATGGGTGGTTGGGCACGGAAGTCTCCCTGGGATTTCATACATATCTTGGGCTGCAGGTATCAGCAACTCTGTTATTGCTGTTTGAGTTGGAGTGGAACCAAGCTGCTGTGTCTCATGTCCTGTTGGAGAATTCAAAGAACCTCCACTCCTGGTCTCTTATAGCAGCTGGAACTTTATTTACATCCCTGTTATTACCTTCTCTGCATTAAGGAATGAGTTGTCCATTAAGCTGCGAGCCATTTTTACCCAGCTATCCTCCACTATGCACCAACCAGTGTAGTGTTCCCATTGTGTATGTTTTTTGAAATGCTGCTCTGGGTGGTAGGGTGTTTGTAAGGGACTGAGGTGTTAGGTTAGCAGATCATAGTGACATTTAGGATATTACTATTAACCTGACTCCATTTCAGAACATCACTTTAAGCTCATTTTTTGCTTTTCATTTTTCAAATTTTTTTAGAGACAGGGTCTCGCTCTGTAGCCCAGGCTGGAATACAGTGGCTCAGTCATAGATCACTGCAGCCTAGACCTCTCAGGCTCAAGTGATCCTCCCACCTCAGCCTCCTAGGTAGCTGGAATCACAGACACACACCACCGTGCCTGGATAATTTTTAAGTTTTGGTAGGGATGGGTCTTCCTGCGTTGCCCAGGCTCGTCTTCAAACTCTTGGGCTCAAGCAATCCTCCCACCCTGGCCTTCCAAAGTGCTGGGATTACAGGTGTGAGCCAGTATGCCTGACCCTAAGCTTATAATGAGAGTCTAATAATGAATTTTTGTTATAGTTCAGATAAAGCTTACAATGTCCAGGTCCACTTGCCCTCAGCTGCTGGGGGAAGTTAGCCAAGTGTATGGTGTCTTTGTTCAGCCTGGCTCTGTATGAGAGAGTTATGTGAGTAACTATGGTCTCAGAAAGCCCTGAGACAGAAATTGCCGTTACTAGTATTTCTATGCACTGTCAACTTCCACACATCAGAGAGAAGGTTGCATGTTTGTTTTCCATGAAAATAAATAACTTTGGAACTACGAAAGTCTTTAAGAATACAAGTGACCTCAAGGAGTAGAGTAATACTTGTTCCTGTTTATTGAGGGCTTTTTTAGTGCCAGAATCTGTGCTGTTCCTAGTTGTAACGTCTCAATCATTCCAGCACTTCTTGGTAGAAGATGCCATCATTTCAAAACATTCTTTGAGGTTCCACAGCTAAGATGGGAATTCTGACTTGGAGTCCACGCATGACTGACTTAGACATCATGCCCTGAACCACTAGTATCTGCTAACACTAAAACATTATGATTGTTTCAAGAGGCAGAGAAGACCTGAACCCCTGGGCCATTTTAGAGCTAAGGGCAATGTAGAGCTGAAGGTAGCTACTTTTCACCAGCACAGAGCTGGGGAGTCTCCTTGAGTTCTTCACCTCCCTGCCTTTGACTCTACACTTAGGCTACACTCAGCTAGTGTTCCAAATTTTGAAATTTTTGTCTTCAAAATCCATGTTCCCTCAGACCTTATTCCCAGCTATCTGATTAGAGCAAGTCCCTAAAAAAATGATTGAGATTGACATGCGATTGAGTATACATTAATACTCCATTTTAGGAGAGTTAGGGAGTTGACCAAAAGGATTGAATTGAATGGCGGACCATGAGACGGAATGGAAGGTTTTCAGAAAGATATTGGAGTGCATCTTTGTGTATGTCTATGTGTATGCCTCTCCATCTGAGCACCTGCCATTATTCCTTAAAAGCATGTGTATATGGAAGAAAGAAAGACATTGATTAGCAACACATCTTTGAGTTAAAGTTCAATAACTCAAGGTTGAGCACACTGAACAAAGTTGGAATTCACTTTGAATTCCAAGCAGGTTACCCCAAGACAGAGATATCCACTGTGGGACTAGGAAGAACACGTTTTCCTCCAAGTTCTCCTCTCCAGACTATTGACAAGTTTCCTCATGTTACAAGCAGGGTTCAGACAACCTGCCAACTTCACCCTTGCTTTTCTGGGGCCTTGCAAACTAAGATCAAGAGTGAAGCTGAAGACACACTAGTGAAAACCCCAGACTCATCAAGCTCCCCAACTCTAATGGCCACAAAGCTCTAGTGATTCTAGCAGGAATATGCTAAGCAATTAGTATCCATCATCTCCTTTGATGCCCCTGGTAATCTGGGGAGCCAGGTGCTATGCTATTTTTCATATGAGTTTCTCAAAGAAATTAGTTGCCTAAGGACACATAGCTAGTAAATTTCAGAGCCAAGATGGGAGCCCACTTGTGATTGAGTTTATAGCTTGTGTGCTCTTAGCTGCCCAGCACCCCTGGTTGTTGTGGGACTTAGGGGCAGTGGTGGCAGGGAAGATGAAGGAAATTTTAAACATTACTGAAAAATCGTATTAATACAAATTTTTTTTTAAGACAGAGTCTTGCTCTGTCACCCAGGCTACAGTGGAGTGATGCAATCTCGGCTCACTGCAACCTCTGCCTCCTGGGTTCAAGCGATTCTCCTGCCTCAGCCTCCCGAGTAGCTAGGATTACAGGTGCCCACCACCACACCCAGCTAATTTTTTTGTATTTTTAGTAGAGATGGGGTTTCTTCATGTTGGCCAAGCTGGTCTCGAACTCCTGACCTCAGGTGATTCGCCCTCCTTGGTCTCCAAAAGTGCTGGGATTACAGACATGAGCCACTGCACCTGGCCTTAATATAATTTTTGAAAATAAAAAGCTATAGAAGAGATCCACTTAATTTTTGCTGTTTAAACCCAAACACCTTTAATAATTCGTTGTCCTTTCATCTAGTCCTTCCTCTGCAGAGTTATAATTATGTACATATCTTCATAAACTCTACTGTGTATGCAATTTTTATTTTTTTTTTACTAAACATGTCATAGGATTTTTCTGTTTTTCCTTTTTTATAATCTGCAGTTTTCATTCTTTTAAAAATAACATTGTGTTCCTTCTGATCATAAAAGTGGTTTGTTTCTTACTAAAGAGAATTCACAATTCTGAAAGGCTCGAAGAAGAGACTAAAGAATGAGCTGTAATTTCACCATAGAGAGAGAACCACCTTAACATTCTTTTTCAAGATACTTTAAATATTTTAACGTATTTCTTTTCAGTCCTGTTTTCTTTACACATGCACACATTTTTCTTTCAACAAAATTGGGATCATAGTAGACATAAAATATTTTGATCATGCCTTTTTTCTTAAAATATTAAAAACAGTTTTCTATACCATTAAAACACCTTTTTGTTGTATGTATGTGATATTATAGCATGGAAAAAGCCATCACTTATCTGACTCATTAATTTTAAACCTTTAGTTTCCTTCCAGGTTTTTCATTTTTTAAAGTACTTTTTTAATGCAGAGTTTTGCAAATAATCCTCTTGCCAAATTTCTGATCATTACCTTAGGATAAGTTCCTAGAGAGTGAATTATTGGGCCAAAGGGTATGAACTTTGAAAAGACAATTTATGGATATTGCTAAATTACTTTCTGGACTGATTGCATCAATTATTTTTATTTTTTTTAAGAGGCGAGGTCTTGCTCTGTTGCCCAGGCTGGAATGTAGCAGTGCAATCAGAACTCACTGCAGCCTCATACTCTTGGGCTCAAGCAATCCTCCCACTTCAGCCTCCCAAGTAGTTCAGACTATGGGCACGAATCACTGCATCTGGCTCAATGATCAATTCATTCTCCCATCTGCAGGATATGAGGGTACCTGTCCATTTTAATGACTGCATACATCAAGTAGATGTGTAGTATATTCCTTAAACATTTATCCACTATTTCTAGTTCATAAATAAACCTGCTAAAAACATCTCTGGAACATGGCACTAGAGATCTTGGACCTGGACTGAATTTCTGTGTCACCTACTGTATGAAATCTTATGCATTTGACCTCAGTTTTTAAATCTGTAAAATACAGAAAAATTGCTACCTCCAACAATTATGATGTGGAGTCACTAACTACGAATTGAGTGAAATTTTTATATAATGGTATTGCCTGCTTGCATTTTGGTTTTCTTCAGCTTCCCCATTTAATAAAATTATTTGATATATAATCTGTCTTGATTATATGATCCCCTTTTTCAGTTCTGAGGTTCTGTCAATTAAACAGAAGTTGCAGAAATCACAGACAAAGTCAACTTGCCAATATTTCCTTGTTATTTATTGCCCCTCAGAATACAGTTAAGAGGGTTTCTCAAAAGGCAGAGTGCAGGTAAAATAAGTGGATTAACATACTGTATCATGTGAAATCATTTCCTTTTTATATTCTGTACTCCCGAGAAGGGAATGAAAAGTAATCAATGCAGAAACTTCAAATATAACAAAGATAAGTTGTTATTTAGTCAGATTCCAATGTCTTTGTAAAACTTTCATTTATCTCAGTTCTCCTATTTAGCCACTTTCCATAAAACCAATTTAAATAAAATGCACAGAAAGCCAGTTCTTTGACTTTGTAGGCTATATATGCATTATACACTGATTCCCAGGTGGAATGCAAGAGAAGCCTGGGAAGTGGGGATTGTTTCTTAAGAGATAGTCTTGGTAGCTCCCTGAAGCACCAAACCTGCTTCCGCAAGGAGGCTGATCCCTTTTCTTGGCCTCCTATTAAAGGATACGTCCAAGGGCTTTTTTTTTTTTTTTTTCTTTTGCCTCTGAACTCAGGCAAGCAGGCAGATTGTTTAATCCAATGTGTCCCAAACCCTGCTGTGCATCCAAATCACCTGGGAGTGACTCTGTATGTGTGCGTGTGCGTGTGCGTGTGCGCGCGTGTGTGTGTGTGTGTACGAAACTACAGATCCCCTGGCCCAACTGCAAAGATATTCAGGACTGGGTTAGGACCTGCAAATTAGCATTTGCAGTAGCTTTCCAGGTGATTCTGATGCAATGGATCCACAGACCAGCCACCAATCAACCACACATTCATTTTACAGATGGGGAAAGGGAGACCAAGTAAGGCTGAATATACTTGCTCAAGGTCACATAGGTGTGCTTCCAGTGAAGACTAAAACTCCTTGTTTCTTGTGATTTGATTATCAATGACGTAGCTTCAACATAATCAAACCTTGAGTGTGGAGGTGCTCATCCTTCCAGGAGAGACAAACTGAAGAAAGTTCTGGGATGTGGGGAGGACAAAGAAACAAAATGTTTAACACTGCACTTTGACACCATCTGAAAAAAAATTGTTTCCAACTTTGCTCATTGGGATGACTGGCCTAAGTTCCGTTTTGGCCAGCTTTCCCCACCTCACTTTGAATTTCACGGGTTTTATATACTGTCATGCAGCAGAGAACCTTTCGATAGTTCACGATTTGACATGATTCACTATCAGCTGAATATTTATTAAAAGGCCATGATGACTAAATGCAATGTGGTATCCTGAATCAGATCCTAAAATAGAAAAAACAAATCAATGACAAAACTAATGAGATCTGAATGAAATTTGTAGTTTAATAATAGTAATGTATCAATGCCAATTTCTCAGTTTTGACAAATGTATCATTGTTATGCAAGATGTTAGCACTAGGTAGGGGAACTAGATGACAGGCATACAGGAACCCTGCAACTTCTCTGTAAATATAAAATGACTCCAAATAAAGTTTATTTTAAAAAGTAGTCTTAAGAACAGATCAGAGCAGTCAAGAAACAATGAAAAATTGCTAATCAAAATGCTGACTCCTTCACACATTGGGGGAAAATTCTTTAGGGAGGTGACTCCTTGATTTATGTGGAAAACTTACTTAAGAGAGAAAGCCAGTTATATCTCAGAAGGTAACCTGAGTTGGGGAGGGGCATTTTAATTTCAACAGAATCAAGTGGTGATTTTTTTCTTTGATAGCACATTTGTTTTGTGCAGTTTTCATTGAGGTAACTGTATTAGGCTATTCTTGCATTGCTTTGAATAAATACCTGAGACTGGGTAATTTATAAAGAAAAGAGGTTTCACTGGCTCACAGTTCTGTAGGCTGTACAGTAATCATGGCACTGGACATCTGCCCTGCTTCTGACGAAGACTCAGGAAGCTTACAATCATAGCAGAAGGCGAAGGGGGAGCAGGCACGTCACATGGTGACTTTGGACCATAATAGTGAAATGCCTAGCACTGCAGTGAATATGCCGTAGGGGCAGAGGGTGAATGGCAAAGAGGGAAGATTGTCTGTTTGACAGCAGGAGCGAGAAACAAGGGCCAGCAAGGTTGGCTGGAGTCATAGATTTGAGAGCCAACCACAGAGTGGTACCAGGTCATATGTCATGGGAAAAGAAAACATCTGTGAGGGAAAGGAGAGGCAAGGTGAGGAGAGTCTTGAAGACACCCACATGTAAGTGGCAGGAACGGAGGAGTGCGCTAGGTAAGTGGTTTCAGAGGAGGTAAATATTGGGATTCTAAATGCAAAGAGAATTCCAAGCAGTCATCAAATGCTTCTGAGAGGTGAGATGTGAAGAACTGCTAAGAGGAAGTGGCATTCACTACTGAGACGTTCCCTTATGTCATTGGAAAGCAGGCCAGTAGGATGAAGGCATCAGCTCTAGACTCAGCAAGCAAAGGAGGGAGGGAGGGGTCAGGAAGGAGAGGGAGCAAGAACAGGGTGCGTCTCCTGTCACTTTGGTGTGGAAGGTAAGCATTGAGGAAAGATGATGCAATTTAAGGATTTGGGGGTTGAGAAGCTCTGCGAGGTGGAGGATCTACTGTCATGTGAGACAGATGAGATGCAAGGAGGAGGAAGGCCACTGATGCAGCAGGAGCCAGAGCTCACAGGACGGGGAGGGATCAGAGACACAGTGAGCAGCGGAGGAAGCAACAGTTATTCCAGTTGGGGGTTGGGTGCATCCGTGGAAAGGTGTGCTCAACAGACCTGTTCCTCTCTCAGAGAACATTCCTTCCCCTTCCTGTTCTGTGCTCTCTTCTGTCTCCTGGTTTCTGCATAAGACAGGCAGGCTGGGAACTGTCACCGCAATCTGGGGTAGAGAGGACCCTGAGCAGCTGGGGCATCCTGAGGGCATCATCCAGCTGTGAGTGGCATCAGAGGGTTGAGGCCAAGACAGCTGTTCTCCCTGGTTCCCATTCAGGCCGTGTTTCAGATCAGCAGGTGCGATTTCACCAAGGGGCTCTGCTTTTAGTCTTTTACTACCACCACAAAATCACATTATCCCACTGATCATTAGATTACTCTCTCTAATATTATAATCACAATTGTATACCCACATATACGTCACCATTCACTTAGGGTAATCAGTTTTAATGACACTCATTTCAGTTTCTTTTATAAATCACATACTTTTATGAGATAATGGAGGAGAAACATCTAATTTTGATCTAAGATAAATGAAAAGTGAATGCACGTGTTCTTTAATGTATTTTTGTTGGCTCATCGTGTCCATTACTTAAAGAGGAAAGAATATCTCCTGGTTTCTCTTTTAGAACTAAATGAGGCAAAAGCATGGTGGATTTTGAATACCAAAGCATTAGCTGTAATGTACTGTAATAAACACAACTCACCCTTAGGGGGTTCTGCAAAAATCTCAACTGACTAGAAACCAGTGGTTGTGAACTACATGGGTCATATCCTCCTAATGTATTAAGAAGGAAAATCTTAACACCATACTCTCTTTATGTAAGCAGAATCAAACTCTGAGCCTGCTCTGTTGTCTGCAGAAAACAGAATAAAATGTCTTTCATCCAGCAAACATATACTGAATTCCTATTATGCACCAGGAAATGCACGGAGATAGATAAAGCACATTCCCTGCTCTTCAGCAGATTCACCCACTAGATTGCTCTAAGTGCAGGATAAAGGCAATTACAAGGTGAAAGGGGAGCGTCGAGGAGGAAGTATCATCTGTGGAGTGTGTCTGTATGTGTAGAGCAGTGGGGTTAGTCAGAGAGTCTCGCAGAATGTGTTGTGATCGTGTTTGAGCTAAGGCTGTCCTGATGAATATATAAGGAGAGAAGACAAAGAAGGCTATCTTTCCAGTCTTTCCCCGTTTATAGAATGCTCTCCTCTTTGCGCTAGGGCTTATCTTTCTCCAAAACCAAATACAAACTCATTATGGCATAAGAAGTTCTATAAAATATGGTCCCAGACTCCCTTTGGGACCCTTTTTAGTCACCTATCTATGTCACACTGTACTTCTCTATTTCTAAAATGCACTCTTCGATGGTTCCTTCCTTTTGCATGAACTATGCCCCTTACTGGCAATACTCATCTCCAGTTTTCAGCTTGGCAAGGTGACCTTTGTTGATATAGTGCCCAGAGCACTTTAGCAACAACCCTGGGGGCTCTCTGGAGCTGCCACCATGTTCTCCTTGGTGGAGACACAGGTTGGTGAGCTTAATGAGCATGAACCACTCCCTGTCTTCAGACTGAGCTGATGGGATATGGTCTTGCTGCCGGGTCTTTACTGTGGAAAGATGGCTCCTAAACATGTACTCAGTTGCATTTGCAGACATTTTGGGCCCCTTTGCTTTTAGCCTTCCAAACCAACTACTGTGGGGAAACTGAGGTAGAATGATGCTTTCCTCTGGTCTTATCACAGATAGGCACATTATAATTTTCTGTTAAGATTGCCCCAAACTTAAGCCTTATATCTTGTTTCTCTCTTTATCAAAATTGTCTTCTGTTAAGTGAAGATTTGGCCCTCATTACAAAAAGAAATCTGATACCTTTCAATATTGCCCATTAAGCCTCTCCTGAACAAATGCAAACGTTTTGACTGAGGCCTACTGTTTCTTTCATTTCAGCTTTAATTTTAGGTGCCTCCTTATGTCCTCTTCAGTGTTTGCCAGAACAGAATTAAAGCAAAATAAGTTAATTACCATGGAATTGATACAAACTGCATAGAAGAAGAAGACTGAAATGAAGCCTTTTGAAGGAATGTCATTCCCCTCTGTAACAGCTTTTACTTCTGTTAAGAATTAGTACATGATGGCTCCCACAATTGGATGAATTACATAAATGCTAATGTCAACATCAGGCACAATTTAGAAGAGATATGGAGAAGCATTTTCTGTTTTTAAGTGCCAAAGCCATTTCTCATCCATCAGGTAATAATTTTTCAATTTTCTTTTAAAAAATGTAGTACTATTTCACTGCTACTGAAGTCATCATTGATTTCGCAGCTATGAACCATATAAAGCCAAAGAACCTTCATTATAAGATGGAACTTGAAAACACGAATAAGACACCATTTCCCCAATAACCACAAAATCAATAGAAGACTATAGCAGACGGAGCTGAACCATAAATATACTACATAATCTTGGCCTCGGATGAGTGCCAGATGGCAATGAAGTAGGTCTTAAGTGACCACCAAGGGCTCAAATGGGTTTCTTTGTAAAAAAAAAATTATATATATATATATATATATATATATATATATATATATATATATGTATATATTGCTTTCAATCAAATGTCAAAGATAATTACACGGGAAACATCAGAGAGCTTCAGAAGGAGGGCAGAAAGATTACATTTTACTGACCTAACACTCCATTACCAAACTTCCCATCTTTTGGAGTTTTGACAGAACCTTAGTTGTTCCAGGAGAGAATGACACGCCACATTCATGGAAAAGCGGAAGAAAGAGGCTTTAGAGTAAATACCACTTTCCCCATAATACATGGGTGATTTAAGGTCACAAAAGTGTGAAATGACAGAATTTTTCTGCTTTTGATCTCAGCCAACACCTAGACCCCTGTTGAAATTCTTGAACCTGGACATCATTCTTATGGCAAAAATAAAAATAAAATTTTCAAAGAATCACACCTCTTCACTCCAGAACTGACAGACCCTTTCCCTGCCAGTTTCATTGGATCAATTTCTCCCTCCTCCTCCAAGTCCCACTAACCATCCATTATTGGTGAAATGTCCAGGAGCTATAACAACTTTAGGCTGCAGTCTTTGGGCATTATGTAAGTGATTGAGTTTCCCTGGAGGCTTGGAGGAGCCTGCTGTTTCCCCTCTGGATTTATTCGTGAAGTGTTGGGCTAGACCCAGCATAATCCATGTTCACACTGGAAAGAAGCTGTATGTACTTAGTGGAGGCAGAAGTTTGTCCACTATCCTCAGAGAAACCGAGAAGGCTTTTACTATGACCAGCCCCAGGCCAGTCAAAACAAAGTTGAGAAGCTGGAAACGTTTGTCTTTGGAGCTCCTTTGACTATTTTAAGGACCCCCATTTTTCCCCTTGGTGTTCTAGGTCTACATATCCTAGAAAGCACCTTAAATTATAAAGCCATATTTTCCAAACTCTTTCAGGGACTACTAGATCAATGAGATATTAATAGGCATTTTGTGAACAATGAATTCCCTGACAAGTATGTTTAAGAAACTTTTTTTTTTTTTGAGATGGGGCCTTGCTCTGTTCACCCTACTGGAGTGCTGGAGTGCAGTGGTGTAGTCACAGCTCCCTACAACCTTGAACTCCTGGGCTCAAGTGATCCTCCTGACTGAGCTTCCCATGTAACTGGGACTACAGGCACATGCCACCATACCCAGCTAATTTTTTATATTTTTTGTAAAGATAGGGTCTCACTATGTTGTCCAGGCTGGTCTTGCACTATTGAGCTCAAACGATCCTCCCTCCTCAGCCTCCAAAAGATTACAGGCTTGAGCCACTGCACCTGGCAAGAAATTCTTTAAAAAATATATCTAGGTTTAGGAGTACACACACACACACACACAGGTTTGTTATATAGGTACACAGCATATCACAGGGGTTTGTTTATAGATTATTTCATCACTCAGGTAACAAGCATAGTACTCAATAGGTAGTAGGTAGTTTTTTGGTTTT